TTGAGTTTTCTTCACCAAAGTAGTAGGAAATTCCATCCGTCTTCTCATAGCAGTTCCCTCTTCTCAGAGAGGGCAATCGTTCCGGAGTCTTACTTGGGCCACATTATCAAAGTTGTCATTCTGATTGTAGTTGTCAGTTCACAGTGGTTGCCCCCAAGACCCCTACTGCCACTTGGTGCGTTCAAATCTAGAAATTATGCCAATTTATACAAAATAAAGTTTGTCAAGGTCAAGAGTCCCAGTGTGTGGGTATAGCCTCCGTATGTGTTCCACACAGAAGGTCACTGACATCTCCAAGGGCCCCTCCACAGAGCAGGATGGGGGCCTCCATCACTCTTGCACTTGACAGCTTCTGATGGGGAGTCTGCCTTTCCCTCTCTCTCCTCTCTCTCTGGGATATCTTGAATGATCTCTTCAGGCTTCTTAAGCTCCCTTAAAAATAGGATTGCCCGGCCAATATATACTGCTTAGAAGAAAAACACTTTAAATATAAAGACACAACTAATTTAAAAACTAAAGTAAAGAGATATAAAAAGTTACAAATACTAGTGTTTAGATAATGCAAACCTAAAGAAAATAGAAGTGGCTATAGTAATATTAAATCAAAATACAGGCTGTTCCAAAAATGTATACACACTTTAACAGCTGATAACTCAATTTTGAAAATTGAATCTATTTTAAAAAATACATTTCATTAAATGTATTTTAATAACTTTTTAATTATTCAGAGTATGTGTGTACATGTTTTGGGGACACCCTGTAGATGTCAGAGCAAAGACCATTACCAGGGATGAGAAAAGTCTTTCATAATGATAATGATGTCAACTCATCAAGAGCACATAAAAATCCTAAACTTTTATGCCTATTAACAGAACTGTAAAATTCATGAAGCAAAAACACTGATAGAACAGAAAGAAGAAATAAACAAATCCAGAATTATAGCCATATATTTCAATCCTTCTCTCAATAATGGAAGGAACAAGGAGACAGAAAATCAATAAGAATATAGAAGACTTGAACACTATCAACTAACTTTACCTAATAAATATTTATAAGGCATCACTCAACAGCAACAGAATACACATTCTTTTCAAACACATGTGGAACATTTACCAAGATAGGCCATATTCTGAGCCATTCCAAAGTATATTGTAAAGGGATTCAAATTATATAAAGTATATTCTCTGACCATAGTGGAATTAAATGAGAATCAATCACAAAAAGATCTTAAACAAATCACCAAATACTTGGAAACTAAATTATATACTTCTGTATAAACCATAGGTTTTAAAAAAGAAAGAGAAAAATTAGGGATTATTTTGAACATAATGAAAATCGGAATACTACTTATCATTTTTGTATGTGAAGGATTGTGCTAAAGCAGCACTTAAGGGAGATTTATAGTATTAAATACCTATATTAGAAAAAAAGAAAAGTCTCTAATCAATAATCTTAGCTTCCAACTTAAGTAACTAGAAAAAAAAGCAAATTAAATAGAAATAGAGTAAGTAGATGAATGAAAATAATAAAGACCAAAGAGAAATCAATCAAATATAAAACAATAGGGCAAAATCCTTTAAACCAAATGCTAGTTCTTTAAACAGATCAATACAATTGATAAAACTCCATTAGCAAGAGGGAAAACAATAGGGAAAAATTCATTAAACCAAATGCTTGTTCTTTAAACAGATCAATACAATTGATAAAACTCTAGCCAGACTGACTATGAAGAAAAAAGAGGAATGACACAAATATGCTCAACAGCATGAATCATTATAGAAATGAAAAACAAAACCATAAGAAGATGCCATTATATTCCTATTATAATACTAAACTTCAAAAGACAATTCATATCAACTATTGAAGAGGATATGGAACAAATGGAATTCTAATACTGCTGGCGAAAATATAAAATGATATGAACACTTTGGAAAACAATTTGGCAATTTCTTAAAAGGTTAAACATATATGATCTACTCATTACACAAGAGAAATGAAAGAATATGTCCACACCAGACTGGTACACACAATTCATAGAAGCTTTATTTGTAATAGTCCCAAACTGGAAACAACCCAAATGTTCATCAATAGGTACATGGATAATCAAACTGGTCTATTCATGCAAACAGAATATTACTCAGCAATAAAAAAATGAATGAACTATTAATACATGCTACAACATCAATGACTGTCAATGATGTAAAATATAAGAAGTCAGACCCCCAAAAAAGAGTACATAATGTATGATTTCATTTGTATAAAAATCTAGAAAATTCAAAGTAATCTATAGTAACAGAAGGCTGATCAGTGTTGCCTAGAGGAACGGAATGAACAAAGGGTGGTGGGTGGGATTACAATAAGGAAACTTTCGGAATGGTGAATATGTCCTTTTTCTTGAATATGGTGGTGGCTGCACGGGGATATACATACATAAGTCAAAACTTACCAAATTGTACACTTTAAAATGTGTATTTCATTGTATGTCAAATGTGTCTTAATTACAGTATTTAAAAGATTAATGAACAAATATGAATAATACATAAATAAATCAAAGGTTTGTTTCTTACCTGTCATTCATACTAATCAATATAGGAAACACTGCCTGACTGGTGTGGGTCAATGGTTGAGCCTCGACCTATGAACCAGGAGCTCATGGTTCAATTTCTGGCCTGGGCACATGTCTGGGTTGTGGGCTCATGCAGTAGGCAGCCGATTAATGATTCTCTCTCATCATTTATGTTTCTATCTCTCTCTCCCTCTCCCTTCCTCTCTGAAATCAATAAAAATATATTTTTAGAAGATTATGTTCTCTCTTAATTGAAGAGAGAACATAATCTTCTAAAAATATATTTTTATAAGATTATGTTCTCTCTTAATTG